ATCTGAATGTGTTCATTGTCTATCTATCTATCTATCTATCTATCTGAATGTGTTCATTGTCTATCTATCTATCTATCTATCTATCTATCTATCTATCTACATCTATCTATATGTAGGAAACAGATGTGTCTTATAAATGTGTTTAAATTCTTTTTATTTTTTATTTATTCAGTGGCTGAAAAGTTAAAGATTCTGTCTGATGTTTCAATGTCAAAGTAGGAGGTTTATTTTCTTTGCAAGATTTGCACAATATGAAAGGTTTGAAGAAATCTATTATGTATTTGAAACAATTGTTAAATCGCTAAAGTCTCTCTCTCTCTCTCTCTCTCTCTCTCACTCTCTCTCTCTCTATATATATATATAATTTATTTTAAAATTATGACATAAATATGTTATAAAATAACTACAAAAATTGTCATTTTGTTTCAACACTTCTGGCGATGGTAAGTAACTTGTAATTAAGTTAATTTTAAGGAAATTTAAAAACAAAGTGTTACCTCTTTTCTGAAAGTTAAAGGTGGGTCATGAGGTCAGAATTAAAAATAGACTTGATCTTTCTCATTCGGATATATATATATATATATATATATATATATATATATATATATATAAAAATAAAAAAAAAATAATAATAATAAAAAAATAAATTCATTATAGCAATTCAGTGAGTCAAGTAGTACCCTCGACAGAATGCAGTAGACAGCCGTTTCGTCATATTTGGGACTCGTCAGCAGTGCCCATCCACTACCGAGAATCGAACACGGACCGTTACGAGACAACGAGCATCGGTGGTGACGAAGAAACAAACTAGGTTCGATATAGCACCGCTACTCACAAATTTCATGGTGATACTCATCCAAGTATTCAAACTCAACTCAACATATATATATATATATATATATATATATATATATATATATATATATATATATATATATATATATATATGTATGTATATATATATATATATATATATATATATATATATATATATATATATATATATATATATATATATATTTATATGCAATTTATATATATATTATTTATATATTATATATGCGCGGTACTTATAGAAAAGTGCTCAATATCAGTGATAGAGCTAACATAATTAGTTGGATTAATGCGAGTTTGTGACCCTGGGTTTCACGCTGTTTGCGATCATCAGACAAACTGTCTGACGATCGCAAATAGCGTGAAATCCAATTAAACCTCAAAGTCACATCAATCAAACTATATATATATATATATATATATATATATATATATATATATATATATACGAGATATGCTAAAAGGTGTATGACTCGTCCTGCAATGGGCACGTTCCTGGATCCTACAAATAGCCATTTCTTACCCTTCTTGTGCAACGAGCCACTTGCAACAGTGTCGCTGAAGGCATTCATATTGACATTCTGGATTGATTCGAAAGAGAAATGAGAATGTCAAAAAATGGTGCATGCTACATAATATTACATTAGATCGATCCATTTTCGAAGTGCTAAATAAAAGATCTTTCGCAATAGATATGAAAAGGGAAGTATCATAGTGAAATATAGACGGCAAAAGGATGAAAAATGTCTATTAACATAGTTCACCCGACAAAGATGGACACGCGTATTGTTCAGCAAGTAATTTGACCGTTTGAACAAAGCATTCAGAAAACAGTCTCACGCTTCGTTTTGCCTTTATATAAAGTCAACACTGAGAAATTATCAACGCTTGTAGTTTTCAGAATTATGTATGAGGCAACAAATTCCGGCCATGGGAACCTCTCATGATAGGCACTGAGAGAAACAACGAAGACACGTGAACTTAAATAGCATTCACAAAGCTATTTTCTCTTCCATATCTATCTATCTATCTATCTATCTATCTATCTATCTATCTATCTATCTATCTATCTATCTATCTATCTATCTCAAGCCGTTCATTATCTATCTATCTATCTATCTATCTATCTATCTATCTATCTATCTATCTATCTCAAGCCGTTCATTATCTATCTATCTATCTATCTATCTATCTATCTCAGTCTGTTCATATCTATCTATCTATCTATCTATCTATCTATCTATCTATCTATCTATCTCTGTTCATAACTCTCAGTATCTATCTATCTATCTCAGTCTGTTCATAACTTTCAGTATCTATCTATCTATCTATCTATCTATCTATCTATCTATCTATCTATCTCAGTCTGTTCATATCTATCTATCTATCTATCTATCTATCTATCTATCTATCTATCTATCTCAGTCTATTCATATCTATCTATCTATCTATCTATCTATCTATCTATCTATCTATCTATCTATCTATATGATGGTCTGTTCTTTATCCATTTCAGTTTATTCATTCTCTGTACCTATATTTGTCTATAGAATAATAGTAAGTGAAAGAAAAATCTATTAGAACAGATTTCATTGCATCACAGTCACTTTATTTTCACTATCCGTCAATTAAAGGAAAAGGTAGGAAGACACACACACACACACACACACACACACACACACACACACACACACACACACACACACACATATATATATATATATATATATATATATATATGTTTGCCCATATCAAGGAAGCTTAATAATGGCTGTTTGAATCAAACTACAAATCCAAAATTTAGAAGGTGGTTATTTAAGTCTACTGATGTAAATATATTATTTCGACTTTGGTTATTAATATTTATTTAGAAATATACTTGAAATAAGGGATAAATAAAAGCATGTATTTCAGAGCCTCTTTTATGTTTTCTATTCAAATAATATATTGCATATTTTATTGCATATTTTATTGTAAAGATCCAAACATGCAGACAGTTGCATTCTGGGGACTGTGATTTCTTTCTTATGCAGAAATGCCTATGATGAAGTTTAATTTAAAAATTTATCTCAAAAACAATGAATAACAATAACTAATAATAAAATAGAACACTTCTAATTTTGTCAATGCTATCGGCGGTCGTAAAAGTAATGCTTCTGTAGATTTCTTCTTACCGTAAATCTTGGCAAATACCTTTTTTCTTCTTTTATTATTCACCAAACACTGCACATTGACACAAAACCAAAACATTAACCTAAAAACACGACTGATGTTCTGAAATAGTTACGCCAAATCGCGACTTTTATAAGGGTGCCAAACCCGTTCAGAAATGTCTAAACTGCCAGTTGTATAAAAATCCTTTCTCAGGCTAATAGTTAAAAAAACTAACAATGTGTATGTATCTAAATACAAATACAATCACACACACACACATATATATATGCAATTTATATATGTATATTACACATATATTATATATGCGTTGTACTTATTGGAAAGCGCGCAATATCAGTGACAGAGCTAACATATATATATATATATTTAGTTGAGTGATGTGAGTTTGTGACCGTGGGTTTCACGCTATTTGTGACCGTCAGACAAACTCCACCTGTCTGACGATCTCAAATAGCGTGAAACCCAGGGGTCACAAACTCACATCAATCCAACTATATATATATATATATATATATATATATATATATATATATATATATATATATATATGAAATGAGGTATTATGTACATTATTTACATTATTCGGACTATTGTCCTCATCTTTGTCGCCATATTCATTACAACGTTTCGACCTAAAGGTTAAAAGGACGAATGAAGTCTGTAGATTTTAGAGAAGGTCATCTTTCTTCGAACCTCGTGAACTGGCGCTACAGAATCACATAGAATTGTACAAATATTAGAAACCACATTAATTGAGGACTTTATAATGACACAATCAAAATGTTGACGTTCTATATAACATCAAATAAAATGTTAGGAAGGACCCCCACCCCGTTTCAATATTGGAAGGACTAACGACATTTACTGGACTTTTTCCAGAAAAAAATGTATTAATTGAAAGATTTTTCTAAATTCTAACCAAAAGTAGCATTGGCTGACCGATCAAAGAATACCGAGTGCTTCCTTATAAGGAAATAGTTAATATTAATATCACCATTAATAAATGGGGAACTTCCACTTTTGCAATTTCTTTTGTCATATCCGAGTACAAATATTAAATAAGACTGATGACTTGTTTATTTCTTGGATTGATGGCTGGTAACTTCAAAGGGATTGAAATCAGGTAATGCAACATGCCAAATGTTGTTGGTAGTATAATCGTGAAATTTCTCAGCCAGCTATGCCTGGGCTACGTAGACAATATGGGAAGGTACAGAATTTTATTGGAACACGTTTTGCCACCCCCACGTTCTTGGGCTTGGCTATCCTATCCCGCCCTTCAATGTAGGCGGAAGGATTGACACTGAGAACCTGCGGAAAGTGGAATGATATGAGATGGCACTCGTTGCTCATAACCCCAACTGCCATCACAGACAACGGGAAATTTGTGTGTGTTACCGTGGGCGCCACTATGGGAGCGTCCCTCCAGTCCACCCAACCCTATTCAAGAAGCCTACTGTATCTGAATAGCTAGTTTTACATTTCAGAGTCAAATTATAAGAAATTAGGCGCAACACTTCGTATAAAAGAGAAGCATTACAAATATCAGGCTAATATATAAATGGCGGTTTTGTTTTTCAAACATCAAATCTAAAATAGATTTATTTTCATTTTTCTTTTCTCTTCTGCTAAATGAAATTCGAATGTTCATTGGAATAGCGTTGCTTTCCAAAATCTAAACAAATAAAAAGGAAAATAAAATGAAATTTCCACTATGGTAGTAAATACTACTTGAGTGATTTGTTTTTTACGGTTTATCAACCTTTTGTAGGTTATTTAAAGCCAGAAAATATTTTTAGATTGTAAGAATTTTTAGGAGGTAATAAGGATATACTGATAAAAGTCCCACTAATTAACCCATAGCTGGAGGGAGAAGAGGTGGATATATACTTTTTCCAAGGATATTTGTGCGTAACGAACTCGACTGGAATTAAAGCTGTCCGATTTCTAATTCCGAGCCGTTATTCATTAGAACCCCCGCACATCCAAACTTACAGGACCTGGTATTTCCAAGCGGTTACCCACCTAGGTACTGAGCAGCCTCAACATTGCTTAACTTTGGCGATTGTAGGAGATCCGATGTTTCAACCTGATATGACCGTAAGCCTACAACTATACACAGACGAAGAAGAGACTTGAGGCAACAGATATGTAGTTCTACATACGGATGTTGAGAATATCATGGGCAAAATATGTGAGAAACGAGGAATTTTTAAAGAAAAGGGTAACAAAAATGATCCAGAATCAGGAAGAGGCAATTGAAAATTCTCGGACAAATAATGAGGAAAGAGGGCTTAGAGAATTTGACTCTCACATGAGATTTTGAAGGCAAGAAGAACAGACGGAAACATTAAGTAATCGACCTAAGGAACTTCAATTGCAGAAGAACTACAATGTAGGTGCAAACACTGCTTACAGCTACAAAGTATACAAAATTGTGAAAATCATTCACCTCCTGAAAGGACAAGAAGAAAAGAAAATTTATTTATGTTTCACTTATTATTACGGGATTTCCTGAAGTAATTTTTCTATCTTCCTTTTATCTCTCAAATTATTAACCCTTAGGCCCCTTTTCTTTAAACAATTGCTCTAGCCGTTACCATAGTAATCTTAATTTCAATAATGAATATGCTTATAAAACGCGTAAATTGCAGGAATAAGTTATTCCAGTAAAAATTTCGCTTGAAGATGGAACAGATCTTAGTACTTTAATTCAATTTAATTCAAATAATTATATTGAAATTTTCGGCTCTTGTTTTGAAACACGAGAACTTTTATGTAGCGTTGGAATCATATTTTTTAAATAAATAATATATATATATATATATATATATATATATGTGTGTGTGTGTGCATACATACATACATATATATATATATATATATATATATATATATATATACACACACACACACACACACATATATATATATATATATATATATATATATGATTCAATCGGTGGAATATTCAACATTTTGCTTAAAGGTTTTAGGCAGTTTTGATCAATTTTTTCTTTTCATGGTTAGCCATAAGGAATTGTAAATCTATGTTTACTTTACGCTTAAATAAATTAATAACAATAATAATATTTATTAAGAATTTATTACAGGAAATATCAAGTTTTACAGAAACATTCTTGACAATTATGTATTTAGTTACTTATTTTTCATTTTCTCCTTTGTTATTGGCAGCATTTTAGAATATATTGGCTGCAATGCTAAGTTTCCTAAGTTAAACAAACTGGAATTATTTTGTTTATGCTTTATTACTTCTTTTCCATTGTTGTTTTTAGATCACTTTTTTCCAGCCATTTTAATGGGCAATAGCGAAATTCTTAAATTTAGAATGATCTTATTCCATTTAAAAAAATAAACCCCATAAAAAGGAATATTTTAATTAATATAAGACCAAAAATAAAATATTTTTGACAGAAAACCTTAAATGATTTCACTCGAATTATGTAACAATAATGTAATGATATTCCACAGACAAATCTACGGTTTATGTTACCTCATCTCACTGCATGGTTACGAACTGTAAATCTAAAGTGAGATTGAACTATTGTGTAATCAACTTTAATGTTTTGTAAAATACTTGGATATGATATAATTAAAAAATTATAGTGAAAAAAAGCAATTTCCTCCGTCGAACGCTTCATGTATTGTCTACAATTTTGGGACTGTAACGATATAGGCAAATATCTAAAACAAAAAGTGTTCCATCCTGATTCGAACGTGCGACGAGAGTGGTGTTAACCAGGCAAGTGATATATCCACAAAATCATTTCTAATTGTCAACTTATTCTGTGTGCCGTATCCCTTCAGGACGTTGGCGATCATGGCTCTCCATAATTTCCTGTCCTTTGTAGTTCTTAATAACTTGTGTTTTTGTCATCTATCCAAAACCCTGCTTCATCATGCATTCACTCAAGCTCCCCAGATAGGTCGTGTGTCGCATTCATCTGTCTCCCTTACCTTTAATTTGTCCTATGGGTATCTAATTTACCAAACCTACTTTCCTCATTATGTACCCCAGAAATTTCAACTGTGAATTCCTGATGTTAAGTATAAGTGTACTTGTTGTTGCTATTGTCTCTAGAACTTCGTAAAAGCTCACATGTTCGGTCCATGGTATTCTCAGCATCCTTCTGTAGAACCACATTTATATTGCTTTAAGTCTCTTCTTAAACTGTGACGAGATTGTCCCGCATTCACTACCTTATATTGGGACTGATGCTACAGAACAGTTCAGTATTATTTTATTTGTTTTTAACAATATTTTTCTGCTTCTTAATACTTTGCTTAACTTTTGGAAGGCATCTTTCGCTATCCCGATGCGCCTTTGGATTTCTGTGTCACACTTTCCGTCCTTTGTTAATACGCTTCACAGATAATTAAACTAGTGCAACTGTTTGATTTCGACATTTCCAATCTTTAATTTGCATGTTGGTCTGTCTCTTTTTGATAATAACCATGTATTCACTCTTTTTGCAATTGATGTTTAGCATAATAAAATTAAGCATTTTCATACCCATATATTAATATAAGAATTTATACTTATATACTTTAACAAATAAGTAAATAATTAGATAAATGAAATACTGTTTTTTAGTACGAATAATGAAGAATAATATTTGCTGGTATGTTCAAGACGATTATAATATTTGGTGTTAATGAACAAGGCGGTCCGTTAACCCTTTTTACTGGTAGGTTAAAAAGGAAGATGTTCGGAATATATTTTTCTGGTAACCGTATTTATACAACAGCAAATAATGGATGAAGGAGAGCTTGTGAGTCATATTATGATGTCATCGTTAACATTATAATCATTTGATACGTGGCCTTGATAAGGTTCCAATCCTCAAAACCAGGGGCGTGTAAATGAATTGTTTACATTCCCTATTATTAGGCGGCAAAGAATATCTTTTTGATTTAAGGCTGTCAGATTTGTCAAACAGAAATACAGAAAACAGTGTTCAGATTTAAATTCAAATCATTTCTATTAATATATTTTTGTATAAAATTTTGTCCCATGCTGGAATATAATTTTATCTCAATTTATCTAACGATTTGAATTTGAACCGAGTGTACTGTATTCCTATTTGTCAAACCTGACAGAGCTATTTGAATGTTCAGTGGGCCTATTTTTATCAAAATTTATTACTTCTTATTGTACAAAACTATATAATCAAACTGCTATATGTTGATTAACTTAGGTGAGCTTCACCGTTATTTTTGCTGATTTATTAAAATGTTTTGAATATTAACAACTCCAAGTCTCAGAAATTTTGACAAAAATATTTAATCACGCTAGTAACAAAAGTAAAAAAAAAAAAATTAAACTATTTTTTATAAGGACATGTAAGTAGTCTTTTATGAAAATACCAGACCAAAATCCATGGTAATATTACATATATTATTATTAAAATTTGATTAATCAGAAATCTTTTACAGCTAAGCAATTGAAGTTCTCTGATGAATATAATTTAACTTCTTTGAATTATTGTTCTAATCTTTGGTTATTATAAATTCTATTATTGATACAACATTTCGGCCAAGTAGTTTTTAGCTATTTCCTGTTGTCAATTATTTTGTAAATATGGAATTTCTTATTTTTAGTTCTATGGGATATTTCTTATAACCGCTCCGTTACCGACACAAAAAGGATATCAGTGACGTATTTTTAGGGACTTTAATTTAAATGCCAGATGATCATCACGACGAGTTCCCAACACTTTATATAATTTTATTTGATTTTGGAGATGAGAAATTATAAAAATCCTTTGCCGTGTTTGAAATATTGTGCTCATCTTTGATTGTTATCGATGTTATTCTAGAGAATATATTATATTATATATTATTATATTATGTAATATTATATTATATATTATTATAGCATATTATTATATTATATATATTATATAATTATATCATATATTATATAATTATATTATTTATTATTATATTATTATATATTACTATATTGTTATATTATAGAAATGATATTACTTTTATTCTCAAATTTAAATAACCTCTTATCTTGACTTTTTCGAGTTAATAGTGAGACAAGAAAAAAATCAATATTCAGATCCAAAGAGTTAAGATGTTGGTTTCAGAAATTTAACTTGAATTTAAAGAAAAAAATGAATATCGATTCATATCGATTTTTTCCTCTCTCGGAGCGGTGGAGGGGGAGGAAAAAATTCCATCTGTTTTGGAGATTGTACTTTTCAGACTTGCTATTTTTAAGAGAGCTTTACAGCCGATACAATCTTCGGCTTCCTCAGGTGGATGTAGCAAATCTGCTTATTTTTCATTGAATGTTGGAATATTTCAAAGAAGAGAAACGAAATGAGAAATATGACAAAGTGAAATATAAAAGATCATTTACGATATGTCTGTGAAGAAATTAGAAGAATGGATCTACAGAAAATGCTATTTAAAAACAAACAAACAAACAAACAAAATAAACACAAATAGTCTAAAAAATATATGTAATAACCTTTCGGATTAATTAGATTTAAAGTTAGCATAAATTTCTCAAGATTAAATAATTATAAAAATTATATTTACTTTCGTTTCGTTGTGCACGTGAAACTGAAACTCACTACACTACGAAGTGGTCACCGAGATAAACTTCCTTACTATCACTCTACGGTAGGACCTTTGCATGAAAACATACATTTAATAGTCTTGTTATATCAGTAACGGTTCTCTTAATTCCTGAACCCGTATAATCTATTTCATCTTCATTTTCAATGAATTTCTATAGTAAAATCATTAATAATGCATTTACATTATACATTTATAGTCTTAATCTATTAGTAATACTTACTTTCATTTCTGACTACTGTCGATCCGATTCTTTCTGATTTCCAAATTATTTCTATAGTAAAAGTACTAACAATTCATTTACATTATACATAGAATAACCATATTCTTTCAGTATTGTTTGCCTTCATTACTGACCAACTAACAACCCCTTTCTTCCTGATTTCAAATGCATTTTTATAGAAAAATATTAGTACTGCATCTACATTAGCCATATAATAACCTTATTCTGTTAATAAAATGATAATACTTTTCTTCGTGGTTTACAGT